GAGAAGCAGAGAAAAACCATCCGCAAAAACGAAAAAGGAGTGTTGGATGTTTGTGACGCTCTTTGTCGGCGCTGTTAGGTCATTGGCTCATGTCCTGTATTTGCTTGATTGTTTTAGCTTTCTCTGAGACTGGCTAGCAGGCACTGCAGCACCAGGAAGGACTGCAGGAGCCGTGAAGAAGTATGGCATGAGGACCCAGGGGCGAGCCAACGGAAGGGCTTGAGCTACCATTACTGCCACTGCTGCTGCTGAGGTGCTTATCTAGATTTTTTTTTCTCCAGAAAGGGCGTCTGGTGGGGGTTGGGTTGGGGTGGGTTTTGACAGTGCAGGTACCCGGGACCCTGCAGAGTGGAGTGGGTCTCTCTGGCGTAGAGGAGCCACGCAGATAGGCAGGACATCCTGTGGGAAAGGAGGAGAGAAGAGAGGAAGAGGGGCTGGCTTAGGCTCGGGCCCCTGATGGTGGCTATTTTTGTCTACCCTAGCTGAGTGATTGGGGACAGCGGATAAAGGAAAAGATGCTTATGGGTGCGGGACGAGACACGGCGCGGGATGAGGCCCAGAAGCTTCACAGGAAGTGGCTGAAGCACCAGGCCTTCATGTCCGAGCTGGCCTGCAACAAAGAATGGCTGGCCAAGATAGAGCAGGTGAGTGGAAACGGGAGGGGAGAGGGTGGTCGGGGGGAGGTCAGAGAGAGCAGGTGAATGGAGAGGGGAGGAGAGAGGGTGGTGGGGGAGGTCAGAGAGAGCAGGTTAATGGAGAAGGGAGGGGAGAGGGTGTTGGGGGGAGGTCAGAGAGAGTAGGTTAATGGAGAGGGGAGGAGAGAGGATGGTGGGGGGAGGTCAGAGAGAGCAGGTTAATGGAGAGGGGAGGAGAGAGGGTAGTGGGGGAAAGTCAGAGAGAGCATGTGAGTGGAGAGGGGAGAGGGTAGTGGGGGAGGTCAGCGAGGGCAGGTGAGTGGAAGGTGCAGGGGGAGGGTAGTGTGAGCACATGATTGAGAGAGGTTGTGTGCTGGGGGGGGGGGGTAGTGTGTGTGTGTGTGAGTGTGTGTGTGTGTGTGTGTGTGTGTGAGTGTGTGTGTGTGTGTGTGTGTGTGTGTGTGTGTGTGTGAAAGGGATGGTCGGCGACAAGACACATCAGGCATATTAGGGGGGGGGGGGGTTGTCATTACTCCGTTTTGATTACACAGCCATGAGTAAACTCTAAACAAATATTGTTAAATGCTTCTCCTAAGGACATCCTGAATTTCAAGTTCAAGGTTATAAATGTGAAAGCATTGTTGTTATGCTTTCTGCATGACTGAAGCAGTAAACCCTGGGCAATGTATTTTTCCCATTGCCTTTTCATTTGCCAATGCTTTAGCTACATACTAACATTGGAAGGAAGTGTGTTTCTTCCTCAAAACATTTCTTATCCAGAATTATCAAGAATTGGATGAAACGTGAACAACATGACAGCTAGTGGGCAATCTATCAAACCTGTGTGGTACTGCCAACATACAATCCATTCATGGCCTTATTTTTATGAATATACCAACAAGCCTTTATTAATAGCGTAGTACTGTACAACATGCAATTGTTTGTATGGTAACTAGAGAGGCCTACAGTAAATGCTGACATCCCAGTTCTCTGCTGCTGTTTTATCAGTGAAGACAACCCATACCTGGGTAGGGTTCAGTAGAGAATTGTGTTTTCGAAACTGGGAGGTACTACCTGAACTTGTCCAATAAGAACAAGCCTTGGTGTTACAGCGTGCCCTACTGACCCCGATCCAAGTGTTCTTCAACCACACTGCTGCAAAGAAGCCTGGTGGAAGGCTCATGTGGGTGCTCCACGTTTGAATTAGTTGAATTCCAAATCAACCCCTAGCCCATACACCTAAAGCACTCAGCCAATCAGAAGGCCAGGGGAAGCAATTTATATAAGATTGCCATACCCAATCCTTTCAGATCTACAGGGACTAGGGGTTGATTTAGAATAAGTCTACCCATTCCAGGAAAAGGCCTATGTAGAAACCCTTAGTTTGTAGAAGTCTTCACCCAAAGTAATTCAATTTAGGGCCAGGCTATACTGTGAGAATTAGCTTATCTAGCCCACATGCCCTTTTGAATGCTCTCTTGACCACTTTTGTATCAGTTTATTGAGGCCTATGAAGAGATAAATGTAATCGAACAAGTCACTACATACAAATACCTTGGTATTTGGATTGACAATGATTTATCATTTTAAAAACATACGAATGAATGTTAAGAAACTAAGATTTTTTACAAAAACAGATCTTGTCTCTCTCTAGTCAGCAGGAAGCAGATTGTGCAGTCAACCTTTCTACCTGTTGTTGATGAGGGTGATACTATTTATCAAAGTGCAGCTGCCTCTACTCTTAAACCCCTGGATGCCGTTTTTCATAGCACCCTTCGTTTTATCACAGGAGACATTTTTATTACTCATCACTGTATTATTTTCCCAAAAGGTTGGCTGGACCTCTTTGAAGTCACGTAGATCACATCATTACGCTCTTTTTGTTTACAAAGCCCTGCTCCACAAGCTTCCGACTTACCTAACTTCACTATTAAGATTTAAAATGACAAGTTATCAAACCCGTTCACAGGGTAGGTTAACTCTGGAGTCTCCTATGTTTGTCTGTGCAGTTTGTGTCGTGCTGTATTTTACTTGTTTTATATTGTACTAGATTTTTTTTGTTCCATTAAATTGTATATGCAGAGCTCCCTTGAAAAAGAGACACTGGTCTCAATGGTGACTCCCTGCTAAAATAAAGCTAAAATAAAAAAACAAAATAAAAATAGATTGGATGTGAAAACAACACTTATCAACATAGTATGTAGGTCCTAGCTAACTAATTATTGTGGAAAACACCATTTTGAATGCCTAAAGAATCTGTTGGATGCCTTAAAGTTGTATCAAAATGTATGATATTTTCATTTCCGAGCGCTCTTACCTTTTTACATTTTCAAAGACTTTTGCAACGTCCTGTGCTTTCTTGCAAGAAAGTGATTTTAACCTCAGTTGGAATACCTTCAAGATTGACATTTTAATGGATTTAATTTCAATTATTTAATGTTTTGTTATTGTAGAGGTTAACTGAAATAATTTATTAATCGAGCTCATCAGCAAGGTATTTATCTTTTTGCTCTCAAATCTCGTAGAATATTATGGCATAATAAACTGAAAAAACTCTAATTTCCGAAAATGGCTTTGTTGATATATATTCCAATGCAGAAGTTATTGATCACAAATGTTATATAAATCAAAATGATATACCACTGAGAGGTTATATGTTATAGCAGAGATTAAACGTGAGGTGATGAATTAATGTCTTATTGAGGCTATGAGAGCCTCTCACCATACCATACGTATCAGAATGCTCACATGGCCATCTTGCTTGTCCATGCATGAAATGTGTCATGCAGTATACCATGCAATAGTAGGCCCCCCTTCATGAGCCTGATGCTGCTCAAAGATGCTCAATGTTCTGTCCTGCAGCCAAAGGCAAATGGGCTTTGTAGAGGGTCCAGGTATGAGGCCTTTTTTATAAGCACATCTTTGTTTATTTTAGATGTGGCTGTAAAATGAAATGTGATTATATTATAATAAGTGCAGTGAAATAACTGATCAATCCAACTAATAATAAAAGTAGTCAGAGAGCAGCAGTACCAAACATTGGTAAATCGCCATCTCTCCAACACTGATACATCTTTGGAAAGACCAGGGCCGTGTTCAGTAGGACACAATGTCATGGAATTTAGATATAAATATATTTGGAGAACAGACATACCTCTTTGCCTTGTAGAGTAGGGATTGGAGCTGGTTCTCAAATTATTGATTTTTAGGAGTGATGTGCATGGTGCTGTTGTGTATGTTGGTAGATTAGATACAGTATAATATTTTTGCTCTCAAATCTCGTAGAATATTATGGCATAATAAACTGAAAAAACTCTAATTTCCGAAAATGGCTTTGTTGATATATATTCCAATGCAGAAGTTATTGATCACAAATGTTATATAAATCAAAATGATATACCACTGAGAGGTTATATGTTATAGCAGAGATTAAACGTGAGGTGATGAATTAATGTCTTATTGAGGCTATGAGAGCCTCTCACCATACCATACGTATCAGAATGCTCACATGGCCATCTTGCTTGTCCATGCATGAAATGTGTCATGCAGTATACCATGCAATAGTAGGCCCCCCTTCATGAGCCTGATGCTGCTCAAAGATGCTCAATGTTCTGTCCTGCAGCCAAAGGCAAATGGGCTTTGTAGAGGGTCCAGGTATGAGGCCTTTTTTATAAGCACATCTTTGTTTATTTTAGATGTGGCTGTAAAATGAAATGTGATTATATTATAATAAGTGCAGTGAAATAACTGATCAATCCAACTAACAATAAAAGTAGTCAGAGAGCAGCAGTACCAAACATTGGTAAATCGCCATCTCTCCAACACTGATACATCTTTGGAAAGACCAGGGCCGTGTTCAGTAGGACACAATGTCATGGAATTTAGATATAAATATATTTGGAGAACAGACATACCTCTTTGCCTTGTAGAGTAGGGATTGGAGCTGGTTCTCAAATTATTGATTTTTAGGAGTGATGTGCATGGTGCTGTTGTGTATGTTGGTAGATTAGATACAGTATAATATGTACATGCATAAAATAGCTCAGTCATAATCAGTATCGGATGTTAGTGACATACATTTCATCCCTGTGATAGATATAGTATCTCGGATGAAAGCATCTTACAATGAAGTATGCATTGTTTATTATGTACATACAGTACATCTACAAATGGCTGTGAAACGTCTTCTGGTGACACAGAGAGGCCCTCGCCCCAGAACGACAGCTAGCTCAAAGTGAAAACGGAGTGAAAAAGGATACCGGCTCTGCTTCAGAATCATCAGCGTATTTGTATAACCTTTCATGCCAGATACCAGATAGATACAGTACAAAAGTACATAGAAAGAATGGACATGGAGTGTAGAAGATGTCTGCTCTGTCTGTGGTGACTGCATCCACAAGGCTAACTAGCAGGGTTTCTCAAGGGCTCTATGTCTCTGCTAGCCCCACACAAGATGTGTTACAGAGACCCTTGTGTCTTGCTACTCTCGAGAACGTCACTTAATTGTCCCCCACCTTTCCATCCTCCTCTCCCTCTCTCGTTACCTGAGAGACCGGGGAGAAAATATTATGCTGCGTCCTGCTGCGATTCGAGAACTCTCTGTCCTTTTGGAAGGGTTCCCGCCCTGGCCCCATTCCTCTGCTCTCCCTCAGTACTTACTCAGCAGATGGGCCTGAGCCCCAGCTTGGAGCTCTGAGCTGGGACTGGGCCTGAGCTTGGAGCTCTGAATTGGGGCTGTCTCTGTGGAGGCCTCTTCAGGCCCCTGGGGATGCTTGTCTGTAACAAAGAGAGGACTCTGGGGTTTACTTAAGGCTGACCTTGTGGCAATGCTTTGCCAATGTCAAACGCTGTGTAAACATAGAAAAACACTATGTAAACACAAAAACACCTATCCCTCTGGAACACTTGATACTGTCAAACAAAAGCATACGACAGGATCACATCACATCCAGTTAATATCCTTGGAATCGGTCTGGCGAACATATCATGGTTGAGATCTGTCGTAGCTGTTTTTAAAGTGTTGGTTCTGCAAGTGAAAAATTTACCATGCACTAGCCTTTTAGTCAGAATCTACAACTGCATCAGTCACGTGTTCTTTTGGTTGCCCAGAGTAGTAGCTATAATCTATCTACACACCCACCTGAGAAACCAAGTAGCTGCATCTAGCTAGCTGTGTGTGAAGTATCTTTATGGTGATGTCATGGATTAGCTTAGCATCACAATATACCTGCCAATAGGGTAACTACCAGCAAATGATTAAAACCAGGCCTCTGATGGTATTGTGGCATTGTGGGTGTGCGTCTGTGTGTGCGCATATCCATGTGAATGCCATGTTTGTGAGAGTGTGAGTGCCTATTGATTTTCATAGGCTACATGTACGTATAGTGCATGAGTGTTTGTACAGTATTTCTATGTCTGTGTATTTTGTGAATATGTGTGCTTATGTGTGTTTGTTAGTGTGCTTCTCAGTATGCAGTGTATTTACATAGGTGTGTGTGCTCTTCACATCCCCCTCTCCTTTGCTCCTCCTCTTTCTCCTCTCACTCATACCTTCCTCTCCTCCTTTCTCCTTTCTCTCTCCTCTCCATTTCTGCTCCTACCCCACACTGATGTCTCTTCTTCCTTTTCTCTCCCTGTGTGTCAGTGAAGCCAAGGGAGAGGAGAGAGATCTAGCCTGCTTTCTGCTGGCTCTGCATTATGAGAGGAGGAGAGGGAGGCAGAGAAAAAGAAAGAGAGAGGGAGAGAGAGCGGGAGAGAGAGAGACAGAGGGATAGAGCGCTGGCATCAGTTAAGCATAGAGACCGTGCCAAGAGGAGGAATGCAGCACTGCATTATAAAAGCCAAAGGATAGGTCCAGCTATCTCTGAGAAAGATATAGGAGAGAGAGATACAGCAAGATTTACAGGATGAAATATGTTGTATTCTGGGTTATTATGTATTTCCCTGCAAGGTATAGCAGATAGCAACACCAGTTATTATCATTTAGCAGGGTATTTAGAATAAAGGACCAATTTGATCCAGGCTTCTCTTCTTGAAAAAAAACATTGCACTAACAGGTCTCTACTACACTTATGGTTATGAAGGTCTACTACGTGTGTACAGTACAGGACTGTATGTCATTTTCACTGCACAATTTCCTCTGGCTCAATACGGCTGACTGACATTCAGTGGCCCTTGATACTAGAGATGAGGAGGAAACGTCTGATATGAACGCTTGTCATAGGAAACACCTCCTGTTCCTCTCAGTCAGAGCATGGGAGGAGACTGTGCATTGCAGAATCTATTTCAGGAGACCTGGAGTGGAGCCACTGAGAAAGCCTCATCCACACACACACAAACACACACACACACAAACACAAGGAAAAGCTTTGATCTCTCTCTCCACATCTATCTCCTCATACGGCTCACATCATGCACAAAGCCCAAGATTTAGAAGAAGAAACCCTCAAATCAATGCAGGGAACTGTTGTGTTTAGACAGACAGACCAGGGGTGTATTATGGCTTTCCATGCATGATTATTCTAGGTTTTGTTATACACCTGCCTCTGTGCGAGTTAAAGCCATTCAAGGCACCAGCCTTTTGGCAATGCCAGGGCTAATGTGGCCTTGCTCATGAGTTAATATGGATTCGGGGACAAAGTTCATAAATGAACCACACACTTTATATAGAGTTTGAACAAAAGATTATGGGAAATTTGAGGTTGTCTTGGTGTTGTCTTAACAGGTGTTTTTGACCAGAAACAACATCGGTGGTCAATCAAAGGGTGTTTGTCTTCTCTTTTCCTAAACAACCTTTTAGTTAGGGGTCATGACCTTTAAACAGAGACAGTGCTGTGGTTTTCTGTGGTGACTTCAAAAGATGATGCTTTGGATCTCTGGGACCCCTAGCCTTTTATTGAGGCGCTGTAGACTTGTGTGCAGACACAGGATGATTTTCATGGAATTAATGTGAAATCAGCCTGATTGCAAAAATTGCCCTAGCTTTGTGCAACCAAGCATCTTTAAATGGCCATGATAAACATTAGTATGATATGACGGACGGTCAAGCCACTTACCCATAAGCAGAAGTAGAGAGACATGAAACATTGTCTATGCTTCAATCTGCTGCAGTCATCCTGCACATTTCACACTATGCTTTGTTAGTAAGAACTGGTCTTATTAGGCTTGGGTTTAATCATTAGATATTTTCTGGCATTATACACAAAATAGTAATATTGTACGGAGCCTATATTTGAGAGATTTTCAGCATATTGTACTAAATGAGGAAACGATCAGCACAGCCAGTGAGTAACATCCCTCCAGTGGCGGCTCCTGAAAAAATTCTCAGGAGGGGCAATTTTTCTGATGATTTAGGTGACCTACACACATTTAAAAAAATATATGTCCAGCAACAACATGAAGACAGGGGCAGCATATAAGTCAATACCAGAAGCATTTATTGACTGATCTCAAAAGTGTTGGCTTACCAGGGTTGGTGGAGCCCTCAGTTTCATCTTTGCCTCGCAAAGCTAACTCAAACACTCCGCAAAACTTCACACACTGGATTAGCCGGCTGAGGATGTGGCGGTTCTTGCTAATGTCGTAGTAAATATATTTGTTATAGTGAATATGGAATATGATATGTTGAGTAAAATGTTGTGCTAAGATCTATTTAGGTCAGGAGCTGGTGATAAGTTCTGTTCCTATCCAATAACAATGGACAAAAGGGTCCTATCTTGTCAGCCTTGTCAGCAGGTGGCCAAGGACAACACCCACGCCATAGGCCTCTCAGTTCTTCCAACTCACGAGTTCTTGCTCTGAGGACACACACACACACAAACACACACACACACACATCATCACTGTTAAACACACACACACACACACACACATCATCACTGTTAAACACACACACACACACACACACACACACACAAAAATCCCCTCTCTTAGGCTGAACATTTGAAGACAGAGAACCCGACTCAGAGCCAATGCAACAGTGACAGTAGCCTGCAGGGGACCTCGCCCAACTCATCAGGACCAATCAGAAGATCAGAACTACTAGATTGAACCTACTTCATTTATTGCATAAAATGTCTGCACACAATGTTTCGGGGCTCTCTTCAGATAATAATAATAATAATAATAATAATAATAATATGCCATTTAGCAGACGCTTTTATCCAAAGCGACTTACAGTCATGCGTGCATACATTTTTGTGTATGGGTGGTCCCGGGGATTGAACCCACTACCTTGGCGTTACAAGCACCATGCTCTACCAGCAGAGCTACAGAAAGTGGATACTCATGGATGCGCATTGCAATTGTAAAATGTCAACACAATTGGAGACACCACGTCATTTTTGGAGACATGTTATTGACAGTAAACTATTGTAGATGCGACTGCTAACTAACTAAAACATTTTAGCTGGCTAGCTAATCATCTTAGCTAAATGTGGGGCAAACAATTCAGTTATTTACCGTTAATTTGAGGGATTGGGGTGAAAGAAATCGAGTTACATAGTGATACTTTACGATATACTGTATTGACAATATCGCAATATTTTAGCGCTAGTTGGCTGTACCTGCACCAAAACACCATTATTGTTCCTTCATAGCTTGTTCTCAATCTTTTCACATTGGGAGCCAATTTGTTTTCAGCACTTTTATTTCCATGACTGATCAAAACTCGTTCTCATGGCTTTCTGATCCCTCTGCAACAGACATATGGTGCGCAATAAAATCACAGTATCGAATCGCAATACGTATAGAATCATGAGACTCGCAATGCTGATGCATATATCTTATCGTGAGGTTCCTGGCAATTCCCAGCCCAAGTTCATTTGCCACAACAAATCTCTTCGCTAGCAAACGCGATGTCTTCTCCAAAACGGCAATGTGTCTCCAGCAATGTTTACTTTTTTGACGTTCTATGGCATCTCCACTTTCCAAGCATATATGACCACATGTAATATTTTGGTAAGTGATGCAAATAGTGAACTATGTAGGGCCAGGATGTAAAATATATGTAGCTGCAGCAATTTCTCTTATCTGATATGGTAAGTAATGGGGCTTAATTTATAGCTCCCTAAGAGTTTGACGAACGGGTCCGTGAACGCGATTCCAGATATATTTACCTCTGAATAAACTGCCTTTATTACACCATATCCACATCCAGTAAATTTGTGATTATCAACACTAACCTCATCGTTGTGGCGGCGGACAGCTAGCCTGTATCCCTCGTCATCCAGTTGAGTGAGTGGCAATGTCTTTTTTCGTTCGTACCAATTTTTGGAAAATCCTCGGGTGTAGGACTTTCCGCCTTTAGTAGAAACCTGTTGAATTATTAAATTTGGTCTGGGAGGTCCTAATTGTTTCGTTGCCAATTTATCTTCATTTGTTCGCCGACAAAAAGGAACTTCTTTCAAACAATCCACTCTTTTCTCAGTTACGTTCATGGTTACGTAACGTATGACGAAAGCGCGTAAGTGCAAGCCCACAGACACCCATTGAGATTGTATTGAAGGCTCTGAAATTTGAAAAAAATAGATTTTATATGGGAGTCTATGACAGAAGTTCTGGGCGATTTTCAATCTGACTGAAATCGCCCCAAAAGGGGGTGGAGCCATTTGAAGCACGACTTTAGCCTGATTCGACATTTAGTGGCAGTGTGGCACTGTGGCAGATCAGACGTATAGATTACAACACTGATAACTACTGTTGCCGTGATATAATTGATTAGAAAAAAAATCCCTTCCTTTTCCCGTTTGGCAGTGCGTCGCCCATATCGCCCTATTGAACAGGCCGTCCCTGCATCCCTCCAAGGGAAAGCTGACATTATACTAGTGTACATGTTGGAGGGAAGCATTACATCTTTCAGTTGAGAAATATAACTGCTCATTGCTTGATTTAATATGTGAGGTTGAGTTTATCACAGTACCAGCAGCAGAGCGGCTTTACTGTTACGACAAAGGTATATGATAAAAACAGCATGTCACCTGAACTACCTCAGCTTATATTTAACTATACAAAAAGTGAAATTAATTGTTGGCCATGTAAGGGACCGTACTAATAAGCTAAACTAAGAAAATAACTTTGGTAGGGTAGATATGACACCACTGTTCTCTCTCCTCTTCCCCTCTATGTGCCTTCAGGAGGGTCAGGAGCTGATCGATGAGAAGCCGGAGCTGCGCTCGGTGGTGCAGCAGAAGCTGGAGGAGATCAGGGAGTGCTGGACGGACCTGGAGAGCACCACCAAGGCCAAGGCCCGGGCTCTGTTTGAGAACAACAAGCCAGAGCCGGTGGTGAAGAGCTACTCAGACCTGGACCACCAGCTCTCTGGCCTGGAGAAACAGCCCCCCCAGCTGGAGCAGGCTCACCACCTGCCCACCTTCAACGAGCAGCTGCATAAATTTCAGGTGTCTATTTACTGTTATAGGTTGCTGTTCATGATTTCTGTTTGTTTCTATGGCAGTTATTTTGTGATACATTTCAACTCATTTTCAATTAATTTATGTAATCTTTCCAATCCAACTGTCTTTTAATGCTATAGAAGCCGTTGTTGTTGACTTTTATATGCCAAGTTCCCACCCACCAGCCACCAGGCTGGTTGTCGACATGAAAAAATGCACCGTATGCTTTGTTCTTAAAGCCATCCAACCCATTACATTGCATAACATTGAAACACAACACACACAAGAAAATAGCTGAAAGTGCTGTTCAAGCCCATGTGCTGTGTGTTTGGGCATCAGACTCTCATCATCTATCCCTAACGTGACCTCCTCCTTCCCTCTGGCTGGCCTCCCTCAGTCTCAGATGGGGAACTTGTACAAGGACGTAGGGGAACTAGGGTCCCTCCAGAGGGTGTGCCTCCCCCAGCGAGGCAGCCTGGTGAAGGGTGGAGAGGGAGAAGGGGGCGAGCAGCCGGCCGTGGTGGAGACCCGCATCGTGCGCCTCATCGAGCCCCTGAAGGAGAGACGTCGCATCCTGCTGGCCTCCAAGGAGATGCATCAGGTCGCCCAGGACCTGGAGGAAGAGATAGTGAGTGACTGACACACTTCATTACTCCCTGGTGCCTCCAGCCTTTCTTTCCCTATATTGATTGATTGATTGAATTTATTAGACCATTTTAAAAAATATATACATAAGGGCGCTCCAGCCGGTGACGCCTCCACATACAACATTTTCTATCCCTCTCTCCGTGGCATACCTTCATCTCTCCATCTATTCTGTTATTTTCTATCCTATAGCCTCATAAGGTCTCTAATATGCTTTTCTAAATAGTTATTATGTTATATGGTCAAAGGTTTATGATGTCTCCCATCCTTTATCAATTAAACCATCAGGGTCTCCTCTCAATGAGATAGGTATGTACAGACTGTCACTGACCACAATTTGCTGATGTTATAGCTGTGGATCCAGGAGCGGCTTCCTCTGGCCTCCTCTAAGGATTACGGCAACAACCTGCAGAGTGTTCAGCAGCATGTCAAGATCAACCAGGTGAGAGACAGATTACCTCTATATGAGCACACAACACTATCTCTTCACAACACAGCATCAACTCAATGACTATCCCTGCTCATCTCAAATCTAACTACAGTCCCCACACAACACTAAACCATGGTTGTGTTCAGTAGGACACACCCCCACAAATTTTTTATAAAGTAAAACTAAAATGTGAGCTCTTATTGGACAAATTATGAAAGTGCCTCACTCTGTTTCGAGGTGTTTTTTCCCAGCTAAACGTGACCCCTGGTTCTTATTGTTCCGTTAGACACTGCAGAGGGATCTGCAGGGGCGCCAAGCGCGGGTGGAGGAGGTGTTGGACCGGGCGGGGATCATCGCCTCTCTGCGGACCCCTGAGGTGGACTTTGTGCGTGAGGGGGCAGGGCATGTACGTCAGCTTTGGGAGGTGCTGAGGCTAGAGGCGGAGAGGAGGTCTGTGATGCTGGATGTGGTGCTGCAGGCCCAGCAGTACTACAGCGAGGCGGCCAAGGTCGAGTCCTGGCTGGCAGGCCAGAAACTGCACCTCATCAACGAGGAGAAGGGCACGGTACGTATGGGTGGCATGGTATCACGAGATTGAACTGGCAGGGTGGGTATGAGACTGGCCCATTGGTTAGTAGTGCACAGTGCTCCCGGAGGACTTTTACCATGATTTGCCTAATGTGCCTGTTCTTTTACAAAAAATGTACATGTCTGGTTGATGGTTTGTTTGCAAAATGTACGCTTCTGTGAACAAGAATTTGGTCCCTAATATGAGGCCACTGTTGTGTAGGACGAGGAGAGCACCCTGCAGCTGCTGAAGGAGCACCTGGCCTTGGAGGCGACGGTGGAGAACTACGCTGAGACAGTGGGCATGCTCTCCCAGCAGTGTCAGCGACAGCTGGAGCTGGGGCACCCAGACAGGCACGGGCAGACACCCTGACAGTCACACCCAAGCTCAAACTACATCTAAACACATGCTTCAATGATACTTCAACTCATACCCACAAACAACATCTAATTCACTGGTGGAATTTTACAATAACCATACCGAAAATAAAATTGGCTCAGTTTGTATAGGCTACTAAATTTCAGTGAATGATCCGTTATTTTACTGTCTACTGTGTCAATATCCCTCTCAATATCCCCCCTCTCTCTCTTTGACAGTGAGGGGATCACCAAGCAGCAGTCCCACATAGACCGTCTGTATGTGTCTCTGAAGGACATGGTGGAGCACAGGAAGACCAAACTGGAGCAGCAGTACTGGATGTACCAGCTCAACAGAGAGGTGGAGGAGTTAGAGAAGTGGATCACTGAGCGGGAGGTCGTTGCCAGCTCCACTGAGCTGGGTCAAGACCTGGAGCATGTCACGGTCAGTCTGTCAATCAATCAATCAGGCAATGAACCAATCAATCAATCAATCAATCAATTGATGATGGATGGTCACAATCAGTCCCTGGCGAATGACATTGTCATGTGTTTATTCAATAAACATACTTTTTGTAAGTATTTGAGTGTTTCAGCAAAGTGTACCATTAAAAACACAATTGAATGACACAAAACAAAATGCAATAAAAATAACAAATGAAATGGACATGCAAAATACGATACATGACCTCTATAACTCTGGTCCCAAGCTAATTCTGGTCTCTCTCTCTCACAGATGCTACAGGAAAAATTCACCAAATTCTGCTCAGAGACCAACAGCATAGGCCAGCAGAGGATGGAGCAGGTGAATAAGATGGTGAATGAGATGATAGACTGTGGCCACACAGACGCGGCCACCATAGCTGAGTGGAAGGACGGACTGAACGAGTCATGGGCCGACCTATTGGAGCTCATGGAGACCCGAAGACAGATGCTGACAGCATCACACCAGCTGCACAAGTTCTTCACTGACTGCAAAGAGGTACAGCTCAGTGATTCCCCAAGTTTATTTTCTAGGCTGGGCACAAATGCCCCCAAATCAACATCAAGAGCCTCTTTAACAAAATGTTTCAACTGAAACCGATTGAAGCCAAAACAAATTAGGCAGAGGGAAACATAGCTAGGCAGGGAGACCTGACCTGCCTGTACAATGGTGGGAGAAACACTAGTATGGCTCGGCTGGATTTATATTAGATTACAGCAAACATCATAATGGTGGAGGTGCTGGTAGACAGTGTAGACACTGTAGATTTGCTAATATCCCGGGTGTGAGGTTCTATTTGTGAGGGTCTTATGATGATGATGCTGTATGTCCTGTGCTGTGATGTAGGTCTTGGCTCAGACTGCGGGGAAGATGAGACAGCTGCCAGAGGTAAGGGCGTGCCAAGCCAGCATCGCCAACCCTGCCACCCTGCAGAGGCTCATGCTCTCCTTCGAGCACGCCCTCCAGCTGCTCGTCTCACAGGTATTGGTATTTGATTAAGATCCCAATTAGCTGTTGCAATAGCAGCAGCTACTCTTCCTGGGGTCCACAGGTGAGTGTAGTCGAGGTGATTTGGTGAAATGCCCCCCTCTGACATTAGAGGACCATCAATGCACTCTGGCGTCCTCTAACACCCATCACTCAAATAAGTAATTCTCCTGGAGGGCATGAGGACGTTAAAGATGTTAACCCCAAGATACACAGTGCAGTAAATAGAATACCAATATGGACACATTTACAGAAAGATATTGTGTATGTACCATATGACTGGAGTCATACTTTTGCCTCAACCCTAGCTAGCACACCTGATTAACCTGGTTGTATTCTAAACTTAAGACCAACCATGATTAGTTGATGATTTGAGATGACATGTCCTGTGTTGTATTCCAGGTAAGGCAGCTGCAGGAGAATGCAGCCCAGCTGAGGACCATCTATGCCGGGGAGAAGGCTGAGGCCATCATGAGCAAAGAGCAGGAAGTGATGTCAGCATGGAAGGAGCTGCTGGTTTCCTGTGAGGCCAGTCGCGTGCAGGTCACCTCGGTGACAGACAAGGTGCAGTTCTTCTCGGTGGTGCGTGAGCAACTCATGTGGATGGAAGGCATCATGGGACAGATTGGAGGGGACGACCCAAGGTAAGTAATGGAAGGTCTCCTTACCTGAACTAAATGCTAATTGTCAGCCATTTTGATAATCTCATACCTCTTGACACTTGACTTGATAAATAGGCTCTGCTTAGTTTACGGATAAAAAAGGAAATGTATCTGTAATGTATATACTGAACAAAAATATAAACGAAACATACAACAATTTCAACGAGTTACAGTTCCTATAAGGAAATCAGTCAATTGAAAGAAATTCAGTAGGCCCTAATCTATGGATTTCACATGACTGGGCAGGGGCGCAGCCATGGGTGGGCCTAGGAGGGCATAGGCCCACCCACTGGGGAGCCAGGCCCAGCCAATCAGAATGAGTTTTCCTCACAAAATAGCTTTATTACAGACAGAAATACTCCTCAGCTGTCCGGGTGGCTGGTCACAGACCATCCCGCAGGTGAAGAAGCCAGATGTGGAGATCCTGGGCTGGCGTGGTTACACGTGGTCTGCATTTGTGAGGCTAGTTGGACGTACTGCCAAATTCTCTAAAATGACGTTGGAGACAGCTTATGGTAGAGAAATGAACATTCAATTATCTGGCAACAGCTCTGATGGACATTCCTGCAGTCAGCATGCCAATTGCACACTCCCTCAAAATTTGAGACAACTGTGGCATTGTGTTGTGTGACAAAACTGCACATTTTAGAGTGGCTTTTTATTGTCCCAAGCACAAGGTGCACCTGTGTAATGATCATGCTGTTTAATCCGTTTCTTGATATGCTACACCTGTCAAATGGATGAATTATCTTGGCGAAATGCTCACTAACAGGGATGTAAACAAATTTGTGCACAAAATTTGAGAGAAATAAGATTTTTGTGCGTATGGAAAATGTCTGGGATTTTTTTATTTCAGCTCATGAAACATGGGACCAACACTTTACATGTTGCGTTTATATTTTTGTTCAGTATATACAGTTGAAGTCGGAAGTTTACATACACTTAGCTTGGAGTCATTAAAACTTGTTTTTCAACCACTCCACAAATTTCTTGTTAAGAAATTATAGTTTTGGCAAGTCAGTTAGGACATCTACTTTGTGCATGACACAAGTAATTTTTCCAACAACTGTTTAGACAGATTATTTCACTTATAATTCACTGTATCACAATTCCAGTGGGTCAAAGTTTACATACACTAGGTTGACTGTGCCTTTAAACAGCTTGGAAAATTCCAGAGAATGATGTCATGGTTTTAGAAGCTTCTGATTGACATCATTTGAGTCAATTGGAGGTGTTCCTGTGGATGTATTTCAAGGCCTAACTTCAAACTCAGTGCCTCTTTGCTTGACATCATGGGAAAATCAAAAGAAATCAGCCAAGTAGACCTCCACAAGTCTGGTTCATCCTTGGGAGCAATTTCCAAACACCTGAAGGTACCACGTTCATCTGTACAAACAATAGTACGCAAGTATAAACACCATGGGACCACGTAGCCGTCATACCGCTCAGGAAGGAGACGCATTCTGTCTCCTAGAGATTAACGTACTTTGTTGCGAAAAGTGCAAATCAATCACAAAACAACAGCAAAGGACCTTGTGAAGATGCTGGAGGAAACAGGTACAAAAGTATCTATATCCACAGTAAAACGAGTCCTATATCGACATAACCCGAAAGGCCGCTCAGCAAGGAAGAAGCCACTGCTCCAAAACCTCCATAAAAAAGCCAGACTACGGTTTGCAACTGCACATGGGGACAAAGATCTTACTTTTTGGAGAAATGTCCTCTGGTCTGATGAAACAAAAATAGAACTGTTTGGCCATAATGACCATCGTTATGTTTGGAGGAAAAAGGGGGTGCTTGCAAGCCGAAGAACACCATCCCAACAGAGAAGCACGGGGGTGGCAGCATCATGCTGTGGGGGTGCTTTGCTGCAGGAGGGACTGGTGCACTTCACAAAATAGATTGTGGAAAATTGAAAATTATGTGGATATATTGAAGCAACATCTCAAGACATCTGTCAGGAAGTTAAAGCTTGGCCGCAAATGGGTCTTCCAATTGGACTATGACCCCAAGCATACTTCCAAAGTTGTGGCAAAATGGCTTACGGACAACAAAGTCAAGGTATTGGAGTGGCCATCACAAAGCCCTGACCTCAATCCTATAGACAATTTGTGGGCAGAACTGAAAATGCGTGTGCGAGCAAGGAGGCCTACAAACCTGACTCAGTTACACCAGCACTGTCAGGAGGAATGGGCCAAAATTCACCCAACTTATTGTGGGAAGCTTGTGGAAGGCTACCTGAAACGTTTGACCCAAGTTAAACAACTTAAAGGCAATGCTACCAAATAATAATTGAGTGTATGTAAACTTCTGACCCACTGGGAATGTGATGAAAGAAATAAAAGCTGAAATAAATAATTATCTCTACTATTATTCTGACATTTCACATTCTTAAAATAAAGTGGTGATCCTAACTGACCTAAGACAGGGAATTTTTACTAGGAATAAATGTCAGGAATTGTGAAAAACAGAGTTTAAATGTATTTGGCTAAGGTGTATGTAAACTTCCGACTTCAACTGTATGTTATCTTCAATTTTAGTAACCATTTCAGGCACCCCTATTTGAGCTAATTCCTTCTTGCCTTGCACATACTGTAGATAGTCCCGTTCATGTTATGTAATAAAGCTGTACTTACTGCCTAGTTTAAAAATAAAACGCTTAGTCACCTTGACCTAATTTCTTTTAACATCTGCCATTCAGTTTAATTTGGTTGTGGGAAATGAGGGAAATAGATTTTGTTTTTGTTCACAGTATTTAAGTAGTCCTGATGTATCTTTTAGGATACATAACTCACTTACCCTACTTTCTTTAGCTGCTTTGTCAGAACCCACTAGTCAAGCACCTGGCTAACATTATACACATACCCTTTTCACACTAGCAGAGCCGAGCCGACCTGCACTTCGCTGGCCTGGTTACAGTATGTATCTACAGTATAGTTGCTAGAACCATGCTGGAAAGGACAATATAGGGAAAATGGTAATAGTTCCCTCTCTTCACTCTTCTTTTCTGACATTTGTATTTTGTGCTTACCTCCTGTCTGACGCTGTCCTATGGGGTGGCTTCTGCCAGGGACTCGTCTTCTGCGGAGGTGATGATGAAACAGCATGGTGAGCTGAAAGCCAAGATGGATGGCCGTAGGAAGACCATACAGCAATGTGCGGAGCTGGGAAAGATTCTGCTGGCCGCAGGCAACCCAGCCTCCGAGGAGGTCAGCATCACATACAACCTCACTTACAACCTCACCTACAGTGCCTTCGGAAAATATTCAGACCCCTTTACTTTTTCCACATTTTGTTACGTTACAGCCGTATTCTAAAATGGATTAAATAAAAACAATTCATTAGCAATCTACACACAATACCCCATAATGACAAAGCAAAAACAGGTTTTTAGAAATTTTGCAAATTGTTAAAAATAAAAAACAGAAATACCTTATTTACATAGGTATTCAAACCCTCTGCTATGAGACTCGAAATTGAGCTCAGGTGCATCCTGTTTCCATTGATCATCCTTGAGATGTTTCTACAACTTGATTGGAGTCCACCTGTGATATATTCAATTGATTGTACATGATTTGGAAAGGCACACATCTGTCTATATAAGGTCCCACAGTTGACATTGCATGTCAGAGCAAAAACCAAGCCATGAGGTCGAAGGAATTGTCCGTAGAGCTCCGAGACAGGATTGTGTCAAGGCACAGATCTGGGGAAGGGTACCAAAACATTTCTGCAGCATTGAAGGTCCCCAAGAACACAATGGCCTTCATCATTCTTAAATGGAAGAAGTTTAGAACCACCAAGACTCTTCCTAGAGCTGGCCGCCTGGCCAAACTGAGCAATTGGGGGAGAAAGGCGTTGGTCAAGAAGGTGACCAAGAACCCGATGGTCACTCTGACAGAGCTCCAGAGTTCCTCTGTGGAGATGGGAGAATCTTCCAGAAGGACAACCATTTCTGCAGCACTCCACCAATCAGGCCTTTATGGTAGAGTGGCCAGACGGAAGCCACTCCTCAGTAAAAGGCACATGACAGCCCGCTTGACGTTTGCCAATAGGCACCTAAAAACTCTCAGACCATGAGAAACAAGATTCTCTGGTCTGATGAAACCATGATTGAACTCTTTGGCTGAATGCCAAGCGTCACGTCTGGAGGAAACCTTGCACCATCCCTACGGTGAAGCATGGTGATGGCTGTGGGGATGTTCTTCAGCGGCAGGGACTGGGAGACTAGTCAGGATAGAGGGAAAGATGAACGGAGCAAAGTACAGAGAAATCCTTGATGAAAACCTGCTCCAGAGCACTCAGGACCTCATCCTGGGGTGAAGGTTCACCTTCCAACAGGACAATGACCCGATCGAACATCTCTGGAGAGACCTGGAAATAGCTGTGCAGCGACCCTCCCCATCCAACCTGACAGAGCTTGAGAGGATCTGCAGAGAAGAATGGGAGAAACTCCCCAAATACAGGTGTGCCAAGCTTGTAGCGTCATACCCAAGAAGATTTGAAGCTGTAATCGCTGTCAAAGGTGCTTCAACAAAGTACTTAGTAAAGGGTCTGAACACTTATGTAAATGTGATATTTCATTTTTCTATTTGTAATAAATTTGCAAGAATTTCAAAACAACTGTTTTTTCTTTGTCATTATGGGGTATTGCGTGTAGATTGATGAGGGGGGGGGAAAAACAATTTAATCAATTTTAGAATAAGGCTGTAACGTAACAAAATGTGGAAAAAGTCAAGGGGTCTGAATACTTTCCGAATGCGCTGTAATTAAACAGCAAAACCACATTACGCTGAATCTGTATGCAGCAAAATCACACATCACATCACACTGTATGCAGCAAAATCACACATCACATTACACTGTATTCAGCAAAACCACACTACACATCACACTGTATGCAGCAAAACCACACTTCACATCACACTATATGCATCAAAACCACACCACTCACTGTACCCACCCAGTACAAAATGTTCTGAGAACCATGTTTCTTAGAGCTTGGTGAGAGCGTGGTTGTCCTATGTTTTTTTGTTGTTGCATACAACCGTCCCACAAGTTTCTGGGAATGATGCAGGATAGTTGCTTTGGAACATTCTCAGCACATTTAAGGAACTTGACAAAAAAAAAACTTTATTTTCTTGGTATTTCATTATTTTAACAGAATGGTTCCTCAAAGTTCAAACATTTAATTTACATTTTGGTAATGAAACGTTCTCCAACTGGTTTGACATTGGGAATGTTCTCAAATAGTTTATTTTGTGGGAATTTCAGTGCTTCAGCATGACGTTTCCTACCGGTTTCCTCATGATTCTATTTAAAGTAATGTTCTCAAATTGTTCCGAGAACGTTAAAACTTTCCATAAAAACCACAAGAACATTTTAGTAATGTTCAGACAACGTTCCAAGAATGTTATTTAAAAACATATCCATTCTGTTCTCAGCATCAACAAAACTCTCTCTATCCTCTCGAACTTGTTAAAGCTGTAATATGTCACTTTTTGGGTGATCCGACCATAGAAATGTGAGTTAAAATCTGTCATTCTCATTGAAAGCAAGTCTAAGAAGTGGTAAATCTGTTCTATGTGTGCTATTTCTATGCTTCCTGTTCTTAAGTTTCGTTTTTGCATCTTTTACTTTCGGCCTTGTACACCAGCTTCAAACAGCTAAAAATACAATATTTCTTGTTATGGAAAATATATTTCACAGCGGTTTAGATGGTACAATTATTCTCTACACTACCCTTGCTTGTTTTGTCACATAAACTGAAATTAGGCAAACTATTACAATTTCTGCATAGTGCATCTTTAAGTGTGTTGGCCGCACCCAATAATTGTCCACACCTGATCTTAATGAGTACTTGTTTCCTTTGAAATGGGGTCTGTTTGAATAGACTAAAATGAACAGCTTTGTATGTGTAAAAAAACCCATTGCATGCTAGCTCCATCCTTGTGGCGCAGTGGACTAATTCCATGGATAGAGAACAGAAGATTATAGGTTTGAATCTCAATGATGCTGTGCCTCCCGAGTGGCACAGTGGTCTAAGGCACTGCATCGCAGTGCTAGCTGTGCCATTAGAGATCCTGGTTCGAATCCAGGCTCTGTCGTAGCCGGCCGCGCCCGGGAGACCCATGGGGCGGCGCACAATTGGTCCAGGGTAGGGGAGGGAATAGCCGGCAGGGATGTAGCTCAGTTGGTAGAGCATGGCGTTTGTAATGCCAGGGTTGTGGGCTCGATTCCCACGGGGGGCCAGTATGAAATTTAAAATAATAATGTATGCACTCACTAACTCGCTCTGGATAAGAGTGTCTGCTAAATGACTAAAATGTAAAAAAGAAATGTTTTCATGATTAATGCCTAAGTAAATGGATTTCCATGTGTCTTATCTGTGTTAACCCCCAATAAGCTAGCAGTCTTATTGAAACATTCAGGGAAAGTTTTAAGGAAGTTATTAAAAACCCTCAGAATAACGTTCTCAAAGCGTTAATAAAACCTCCCAGTAAAACTTTCAAGGAAACAGAGTAAAACATTTTCAGAACCTCCCTGCAACCTAAACATAAATGTTTAGTTTAAAAAGTGTTCTGTTTTACCGGTCTGGAAACTTCTGGCTTCGTTCCCACAACTAATATGAAACCAAAAACATACGTTCCCACATCTTCCAAGGAACCAAATGTGCTAGCTGGGTATGCAGCAAAACCACACTTCACATCACACTGTATGCAGAAAAACCACAATTAATTCAAACATGCTGCAAAACTAAATGAATATCTAAAAAGAACAATGAATATTGTGTAGGTTTGTCTTCAATGGAGGTGTATCACTTAAACCTCACATGATGACGAATAAAATTCCCTGTCAAATGTTTTAATATATTGTTGTTGCATTCCATTTGTTTTGATCTTGAATGCTCCCTAACCGTCTCTCTCCTTCTCTTGCCACAGATAAAGGAGAAGTTGGATGCGCTCCTGGCTAAGCAGAAGGATCTCTCTGAGAGATGGGACAAACAGCAGGAGAAGCTACAGCGCAGTAAGTGACTCACTACACTGGCAGGCACCGTGGAGGGAGCACAAACAGCTTTCAGGCAGCACTGAACATTTTTTTTTATATGGAACAATGGAAGGGCTTGTGCTCGAGAGTACTGGTTTTAGATTGTGCCTCAACACAGGCATCTTCACACTGCACAGTTTTTGTGAACAACACGACTTTCACTATTAATATTTATGTTTGTGTGTTGGCTTCAACAATCGTTTCATACTAAAATAAATAGTTATATATAGTATCAAATAAGGGTTATTTGGCTTGATACCATAGCGGACCCTTTTTGGTGCTATTCAGAACCCTTTTTTGAAGTTTCTATAAAGAACCATGCTCATAAGGTCATTTCCTACGGTTCTACAAAGAACCATTACATTCACCTGCCGCTAACTCTGCAAATAGCACTACTGGGTGATTTAAAAAGTAATAGTCAATCGATTAATAATATAATAATACTCTTAGCAAAAATGTTTATCTTTAATTTACAATATGTAGAATCTATGAGAATAGAAAGGTTCAGAACTTTTGTGAAACGTCACAGCACAGTTGAAAAAGATATGGCAAATAGAAATCAAAACTGGATGGTGTTCAGAGATAGATGGGAGGGGTTGAGTGGAGCTGAATGATGGGCCTAAAAACAAACAAAAGTTAACTATTGTAAACTATACTGTGTCCGTAAAATGTACATAGTATGTATAAGCTGGAAGTAGAAGCCTAAGAGTTGTTGTCCATTAGTTTACTCCAATTAGGGGAGGGATGGTAGGGTTAGGGGAAAATAATAAAGGAAAATATATTTAAAAATAAATACATATTTTATATATATTTAAAAAAAATTAATGGGGGATTGGAAATGATGCAGACAATTACATTGATGGAAGCCACAATCTATCTGCTATATTAAAGCTGATCTACCCCCCAACAAAAATAAACAAATAAAATAAAAAATTGAAAATGGTTCTGCTATGGTTACAACCCTTTTTGGTGCTATATAAACACGTTTTTAATGGTTATTTTATAGAACCTTTATGGAGAATTGTTCTATAAATAACTTTTCTCAATCTCAAACGTTCTACAAATAACCTTTTGAAGAACCATACAGTTTCTTAAAATTCCATAGGTGTTATTATTGTGTTAATTCACAAGTTCAATCAGGTTTGCTAGCTGTAAAACAGCTGGGGGTCCCTAAGTAGATAATTGGGAACCACTGATTTAGTCACAAGACACCATAACTGTCCATAGTCATATTTACCATTGTAATGACGTAACACAACACATTAGATCCACTGGAATGACACTCTCACTCACAGTTGCACAAAAAGAGCTTAGCGCAAACTACGCCCCAAAATATTAAAATGAGCCACCGCCCCTACATTTGAATTTCCCTAAAATAACAATTTTCTAAACTGCAAAGAACCATTGAAAGGCTCAAAGGATTCTTTGAGTCATTATGTTCAACATAGAACCATTCATCCTTAACAAAGAACCCTTGAAGAAACATATTTTCTAAGTGTGTAGATAACACTTTACAAAACAGTACAGCCATCAAATACATCTGATACAACATCAACACAAGACCTAGCCAGAGTTGAGATAACCACGTGAAACTCAGACTTTTATGTAAATCATTCATTTATGTCAATGGAAGACCAATTCACGCCCATGCAGGATAAATGTATACAGTATATGAGGTTCGGTGAATGTTCAAAGACTGTAATAAGGACTTTCGAATTAAGCATGCCTATCTCTTCTTCTTTCCTTCAGAGAAGGATCAGTTCCAGTATGCCCAGGAGACAGTGAAGGCGGAGGCCTGGCTGAAGGCCAAGGAGCCCCTGATTAGCTCCAGCTCCACCTCCAGGGAGGCTGGGAGGTCTGGAGGAGATGCCCAGGCCCAGACTGATGAGGTGGAGCAACTCATTCTCCGCCACGAGGCCTTCCGCAATGCTGCAGCCACCTGGAAAGAGCGCTTCAGCTCACTGAGACAGCTCTCCAACGTAAGCCTTTCTTTAGATAGATACAGACAGTCTACTGGCTGGCTCGTAATTGTTGGCACTGTCTGGTGACAAAGAAGATTTACTGAAGTGTTACTTAAGTATTTACTTATGTCTGTTGTCTAACATACCCATTAGGATTTTGTTATTTTTCTTAGCTCAAAGGGTTTAATTAGACATTTGATTCAATAATTTATAAGACAAGTCTTTGTGCAGTAAACTTGCTAGTTGTTTTACTGTTACATTTGAGGTTACAGTTCACTTCAATCTCTCCTCTCAGGCAGAAAAGCTGAGAGAAGAACAGAGCAGCAAGCCTTCCCCAACGCCACTCTCCAGTCGGAGGATGTTCCCATCATCCTGTCTCACTCCGACTGTTCCCCTTGCTACCTCAACTCTGCTGAGACAGACGGTCCAGGTGCATATCGAGCCCAGGCCCAAGCAGACCAGTCTGGAGATGTCTGCCTCCTCTGCAGCCCAAAGGTTGGGTTCTACCATAGCCAGCTACACTCCTGTCATAAATGGCTCTGGTTACCATGGACTGGACCATCAGAGCAGCAGCGGAGGATTGGAGAGTTCCAACTACCCTGGACTGAACCATCCAGGCGGTGGAGGAGTGGACAGCAGCTCCAGTTACCTTGGAGGGAACCATCAGACTGGCCCCCCGCCAGTGGATAGTTCTGGCTACCTTGGACTGAACCATCAAAGCAGTGGGGGTATGTGTAGTCCAGGCTACCTACCTCAAAATCAAAGTAGTGGGGGTATGTGTAGTCCAGGCTACCTGCCGCAAAATCTAAGTAGTGGGGGTATGGGTAGTCCAGGCTACCTGCCGCAAAATGTAAGTAGTGGGGGTATGGGTAGTCCAGGCTACCTACCGCAAAATCAAAGTAGTGGTGGTATGGGTAGCTCAGGCTACCTTGCACAAAATCATAACAGTGGTGGTATGGGTAGCTCAGGCTACCTTGCGCAAAATCAAAGTAGTGGGGGTATGGGAAGTACTGGCTACCTTGCACAACACCAAGGTAGTGGGGGTATGGGTAGTTCAGGCTACCTTGCGCAAATCCAAGGTAGTGGAGGTATGGGTAGTTCAGGCTACCTGGCTCAAAGTGGTGGGGGTATGGGTAGTTCTAGCTATCTGCCTCAAAGCGGTGGGGTCATGGACCCCAAAATGGCGTATGCGTGGCAGCATCTGAAAGCCGACTGCATGCAGCCCAGGATCAACCACATGCACAAGGCTGTCAACCCCCTCCTGGAGGCCAGCAGGGCGCAGAGGGAACAGTTTGGGGACATCCCCATGGTGGACATGATCGGGCCAGAGTCTGGCCTGGATCTGCTCCACGGCAGGCTCCAGAGGGACCCCCGCGGCAGCCGCTCTGACCCCCAGATGGACCACCTGCGGCGAGAGAGGGAGTACAAGCTGGGTCGGCAGACCTCCAGCGAACAGGAGATTCAGGCGCGGCTCAACGAGCTGCCAATGATTGTGCGCCAGGAGCGCTATAGGCGACGCCTGGAGAGGCAGTCGTCTAGCGAGCAGGAGGGCAGTGGGAAGGCGAGGACACCGAGGCAGGATGACTCCAGCGACATGGAGTCAGCCAAGGAAGGCTCCGACAAACGCTCAACGTGAGTCCAGGACTGCCTGGTCATAACCTCAGCAGTGCTTCACTGTGCTGTTTGTTTGTGGCAACTCATTTAACAAGCTCATTACAAAAAAGTTATTATAATTTGTCTGGTCAGCACTGTCCACTGTGATCCAAAACCATTGATTTGGAAGGTACAGTAGAGTATTGATTATATTCCCTGTTTGGGTGACTCATGGCAGAAACTGTGTCATTGCAGAGAGAAGAGAGCCACCACCATGGCTGAGATTGTGGAGCAGGCCCAGGAGAGAGAGTTAGCACAAGTAAGTTATTTCGTATTTTGATAAATAGGGCCCTTTTATATTTTGTTTTTGTAAAGTGAAGATACAGTTTGTTAGGCCACACAGGCCTGCTTTTTGGATTTCTGAATGACACAACTTTCTCCTGTCTGTTCCAGGCACGAGGGGAGACGTACCGCCCCACCAGCAGCCTCTCAGCACCCGTGACCTACGAGCGCCCGCGCGCCCGAGACCGCCCCAAACCCCGCAGGAGACCCCGCCCCAAAGAGCCTGAGGAGAAGCGGCGCTCTCGCTCGGCTCCGGCCCAGAGTCCGGCACAACTTCTGCCGCCCTCACACACTGCCCATAACGAAGGCTTCCTGTACCGCAAACACGACTTTGAGGGCCACCAGAAGAGTCCCAGCAGGTGGGCGTCTACCGACTCACAGTCACACACACCACACAGACAAGAGTTAAAAGGTTAATGTAGCTAGATCACTAAAGAACATGTGTATATACAGTACTCTATTGACACACTATGAGTTCACTTTGGAAGAAAGTAGAAACATGCATAAGCTGTTGCCCAATAAGCTGTTCTTGTTCTTGTTTTGCAGTAAGTCCTGGGTGAACTTGTATTGCGTGTTGTCCAAGGGAGAGATCACTTTCTACAAGGACGCCAAGAGCACTACCACACCTTACAATGAAGAAACCCCACTCGACCTGAGCGTCTGTATATGTGATAGCACCATAGGATACAAGAAGAAGAAAAATGTCTTCGTTATCAAGTATGGCTTGATGAAGAGGATATTTTTTTACTCCACCTTACTCCTTGTTTTAGCATACAATACTTTTCTTCACCTTAAAATGTTTGAGTGACCAGAGGATAGACTCTTGGTACTTCCAGTAACAATGTCTCTCTCCTTTCTTCTCCAACAGGAAAAATGATGGCAATGACTATATTTTCCATGCAAAGGATGAGGTAAGAATGCCTGTGATGAAAATGAATATGTTTCATCTAATGTCTTAACATCAATGTTTTACTCCCATTAGAGAGCTAGAAAGGCCACCCCTCTGAGCAGAGTTCCTCTCTAGGTTTCTTCCTACAGTAGGTTCCTTCCTTCTAGGGAGTTTTTCCTGGCAACTGTGCTTTCGCTTCTGCTTTGCTTGTTCTTTGGGGTCTAGGCCAGGTAGCTGTAAAGCACTTTGTGACAACTGCTGATGTAAAAAGGGCTTCATGAAATACATTTGATTGAAGAAATTACTGGTCCTGCTTCTTGGTTTTGTGGAAACCCTAACAATCCCATGTCTCTGGGTGCACTTTTGCAGGAGGACCTGAAGGCTTGGGTCACTAACATCACCACCAGTATAACTGAACACGAGGAGATCGCCAAGTGGGACAAGCCCACCACCTCGTCCACAGATCCTGACCGCTCGGAGAGGAAGGAGAAGTCAGAGGGCGACGCAGACGCCAGGTCAGAGAGGTCTGAGATGGGAGGAGAGGTGGAGGAGGAGGAGAGGTCAGAGAAAGAGAGGTCTGACAAGGGAGAGGGGTCCGAGAAGACGGGAGAGTGCTCCGAGAAGGTAGACACGTCGGAGAGGGGTGAGAGGCCAGAGGGAGGGGCAGGGGGCTCCAGCACGTCAGGGAAGAGCAAATGATCCCCGCTGAGTGGAGGAGTGGACTGACATCTAACCATCTTCCCCCCCACCCCACCCAACTTTACCCAACGACACCAGACAGTGCTGTGAGCAAGAGAGACGGAACAAGATTTTGTACATTTCTGTGCATATCTTCTCTCCTTTTCTCTCTCTATATCTCTCTCTCTGTCTCTCTCTGTGACATCCTGAGGCTTGGGTCCTAATGTTAACTGTGACTGACTGATCCTTCAGCCCCTCCCGCTCCCCCAGCCAAAATACATCAATACTTGCATTGCATTGTGGCTCTTGCTGGTAGGTTGGAGGATGGCGGAGATTAACCAGCGCCACTGTGTGGTCACAGGCATTCGTCACAGTCACGACTCATTGATCATTTATATCTTGGATTCACAGCATCTCTCAGTATATATATAATATACCTATGACTGACTATGTAATGCTCTGTCTAAAACAACCCAAGCAGCGGTGAATGAAATGTCTCACAATATTTTGAAAAAGCTTTTTTCTGAAGCAATATACTTTTTTATTTCTTCTCTTTGTTTGAGAGAGAGTGAAAGGAGACAAACAGTTGCTTATTAATTATATGATTGTTCACATTCATCATCAGCTTCTTTCTGGCAGGTCAGCAGCACCTTAAACACTTCCAACACGTCTGTGTATACTCAGCATATTGACATTTCAAACCCACCTCATCGCTATCTCTGAGTCATGTTGTCCTGATGGAATGCTGGTATTACCTACTTGTGCTAATAACTGAATTGATCAACACGTGTTTCTCTTCAATGCCATGCCATGCCAGGAATAAAGGTGAACTAGGGTTGCCAACTTGATTAAAACTCAATCACATCCAAGAGTCTATTCGAGGAGGCAATGCCCAATTTAACCTTCTTGTGGTGCCAGACCTGTGTCTACATCCTACTTGTTAAATCCAACCATCATGGCATGACATAGTATAGTGCACCTTTTTATTTTAATGCTTTCATGTTCTTCTTGGTCTTGAGAAGTTGACCAGTTCTGAAATGAATTTGGCAGTGCAATAATTCCATCTGAAGGGAAGGTCTGTGTAAAATGCTAACATCATGGTAGATCTTAAACTATGGTGATAAGAAGATATGTTTTAGTGACATAGCAGAGAAAAGCCCAAGCCAGACATAATACATGCTTCTTACGAATGCTATTTGATCTGAGACAAATGAAGAAGCATTAGAACCTCATTGCTGTTTTTATTATATTACTGGAATATATTTGATAGGGACTGTAATGGTTTCACTCCTGAAAATACAGTAGTAACATCAACATTAGATGAACACCAGAATATATTATAAACTACTTCTCCCTCCCTGTTTTCTTTCTTTCTTTAAGAGATTAAACCAATAGAAAATGATTGTCAGTCAGAGGAGGATTTATGTACAATTGTCATGATCTAGTCATTAAATTGTATATATCTTTATGTATACCAATAAATGATATGCTCTAATAAACAGAGTTCTATGGAATGAAGTGGGTTAAGATTAAAACATTTCTGTTAATCTACACAAATGAAGTGGGGAAACCACATCACTTGATTGTGATATTACTGTTTATTCAATTTAAATGAAAAATATGCAAATTATGAGTCACTAACAAAGGATAGTGTATATACACCAATATCTAGGTACATTTTACATTTTACAAGGGAAAAGAGTGCTGGACCTAGGTACATTTGTTGTGTATTTATAAATGTGTATTTCATTTAATTGATCATACGGGTTTGCTACAGACAGTTTTTTCTATTAGTAGTTAGATCCTGCCAGGCAAGTGAATTATTATAAGAACAGTCCTGTTTCGAGTGATAGGCATTCGCTATATTTACTTGAACTGGTTAACTGGCTTGGATGAAAACAAAGTGCTTGGTAACCTGAATGTTAGTTTATTTGGCAACTCTGAAGCTGATCAGACTGGTATCCAGGTTATATATGTTTTAGCTGTGACTCTTGGGCTATGACTTCAAAGCTAAATACAACCATACTGACTGAAGCAAGCAAAATGTTTTGCTTGCTTCAGTCATATTGGATGATTAATTATAAACATATATTGATAAAAAAGTTACAGAACACAAAGAAAATGTTGGTTTAGTTAGTACTGTACACCTACAATATGAAACCTCAATAGCCAGCATATTTTGATTTGTTTCAAATGGGCTACTTTTTAATTATGTTTACAGATATGTTTTATCCGATTCCTAAATGCCCCATATCATGGACCTTCCAGATCAAACATCACTGCTTAAAGTGGTCTGTGTGTTTTATTAGAAAATTAATTGATTTCACAATATACTCAATACAGACTGTTCCATTTGACTCCGGATGCAAATACTGGCACTTATTGACTTTGGCATTCAAGTGTTATGACACAAGCAACAGTCATGAGTCTAACTGCAGCTTGTTGATTGGAAGCAGTTAACTTATTGGTAAGACTTGAATATTTCATGATATATGTGTTATGTCATCTGTTACAATGTCAACTAGAAACTGTTGAGAAACTGTCAATTACAGTATAACAACAAACTGTCTATTGTAGGTGGTTATTATAGGTACCACCATGCCATTCTGGATTACAGGCTTTAAAAACGAATGGTACCTAAAATGTTAATTTATTAGAAGGTTTACAGCCAATTGTAAACCTTCTAATTCCTCCGGAATTCCTCCGGAATTGAGCCTTTCGTTGCAATGCATATTTATTAGTTAAACACTAGTAGCTGTTTCTCTTATTTTCCTCTGTGGAAAGAGAGAGCGGCTCTCCTCCTAATTCTATTCATTCCAATTCTATGGTTCCACCATCTACATTTTTATCAGAGAAATCCCATCATCACTTGATGAAACAAACAGGTTAATACTATAATACTTACTAAACACACATAAATACTACAATACCCACGAAACACAGAAATACTACAATGCCTACTAAACACACAATAACAAGGTAACGTAAAGCTCTTGACCTCATGGCTGGTGTTTTTGTAATTTTGTGTTTTTCTTGTCTCAGATACAGTGTTAGTGTACCTTAATGATACCTATTCCTTGCTGCTATGACATTTTCTCTATGTAAACCTCCTTACTTGCTGATGCAAAATTTACGTGAACATTGGTGTATGCTTGACACGGAGGTGTTAAGCCAAGAGTTTTTGAAAAAGTCATCATCAACCAACCCCACAGATCAGTAGATACATGATGCATTCTAGATAGTAGTGGGAGAGATGAAGAAATTCCTGATGTTGCAGCCACTCACAGTGTTTAAAGATCAAAGTCAATTTGCTTGATTGAGTAGAGAAAGTTAACAGATTCCTGTGTTAGAGATTTAACTGAAGTAGAATTAAAAAGAATATATTAATTTAATTTGGCAAATTAGTAAACCTTGCCAAGAGAGTAAAGTTCTTGAGACAGGCGTACACAAAAGTCAATTCTCTTGATTTTGAGGGGGTAAACATACTGTCATTATAACACCTCATGACGTAATCACCAATTAGCATTGGCAAACATTTATTAGAATTCATGGACTTAATCCATTTGACCAGCTATGTACTTAATGCTCCAATCTCCACTTCTTAATGTCTTTGTGCATTTAACACATGGAGCAAAATGTCAAGTGTCATAACTGCTAATGTCAGGTGTCATGATGACACACTTATGTAGGCATAATGGCACAGTTATGTATACACCTTCAACTAAAGTATTCCCTGTATTTAACCAAGTCATTTGTTTTATTTTTTGTAAGAAGAAAAACTGTCTGTGTCATAAAGCCACCTGGGGATAGTAACTGAACCACATAGCTCTGACAACATAAGTTAATAAGTCAGTGATAGACGTCAAATGAAGGGCTGGTCTTTTAAAAAACAACTGTGTTTTCTGTTTGGAGGTAATAACGCTTCAGATCAGTAAGCTTGAAATCCTTGCTTATGTACAGTATGTTGGTACAAAAGAAAACATTTTTATGCTGTATTCTGTAGCCCTCTTATAGCAGATCAGTGAAAGGCTGAAACACATCAGAGCTACTCGCAGTTTTAAGAGAGGCGCAAGTGGAAACATGAATAATTGATGATGTGCACAGTGTAAAACGCTAGTGGTGATGCAGGGTCTATAAGAAATATACATGTATACAGTATTGCACAAAGTCTGCACAACTCAATGTATGTCTTTTAAGAATGTACATTTTAATTCTGATTTGTTTATTAAATAGACTGGAGTAACATCTGCCAATATCTGTCTGTTGAAATATGGTATTGTCTCATAAATTCTGTTCATCCCTTAATCTGGGCACTGTCGTTTTTAATACTGTATATTGCTTGACTGGCACCCATTTACATGAAAATCACATTATGTATTACATAATGCACAAGAACCTCATCTGTATTGTGTGGTTTTAACCTCAAATCTAATTATTGGCTCTGATCATTGGTCCAATTGCAATAATATAAGCAGACAAATTCAATATGTATCGCGGCTCAGGCTAAAACCCAGATGCAGACACAGGAGGCGGATAGTATGAGTCTCAGAGTTTATTACTGAACAAGGGGCAGGCAAAAGGTAAGTCAAGGCAGGCAAAGAGTCGTAATCCAAATCAGAGTCAGGCAGGTACAGGACGGCAGGCAGGATCAGGACAGGCAGAAAGGTCAGAACTGGGAAGACTAGGAAAACCAAAAATTAGAGCACTGGATACACGGGAACATGCTGGTAGGACTTGACAGGACAAGACAAAACAGGAGACAAAGGGCTGTGAGACAGTGGTTTAATCCTAGGCACATGAAAAGTGGGATGTATTCAGAGGGTGGGGGGCAACAGAAGACGAAGAGCAGAGGGGCTAAGGATTTTAGAGATGGGAAAGGGCCGATGAAACAGGGGAAAGTTTACGGGACTCCACCCAGAGGGGCAGGTCCTGAGTGGAAAGCCATACCCTCTGCCTGAGCCGATAGCGGGGAACATGGGTCCGGTGGTGATCCGCCTGTCGCGATACCTGGTTGTGGTCAT